AAAGCTGGCTACGGGCCTGTTTATATATATACAGAATCTCTTCTATTCTATATATATTGCATGGACGTATGCTATGGTGTCATGTAGTATGTCGAAGACATCCTAATACCATAGCCTAGCCATATACTAATAATATAATCATTAAGAATATATTCTTATTGTTATCGTAGATAGGGGGCCTATACGCAAACACATATTTATGCATATGTTTAGATGGATTGTGTAGAGTGATACCATAGATATAGAAGTGTAAAGTATCAGATGTCCAGACATAATTAGGTACACAACATACGCGTAGTGATGAGGCTACAAGGTAGTTCTGCATAATGTTACATCCCCTTTCTTTTAGAAGAAAGATTGTACTTCAATCATGACCTTCGAATTATGCTATCCGAGTAGTAACCAACATGACGTTAATGTTAATGCTGTAATAGTCCTGCTTGGACATTTTCCACGCTAACTGCCAATAGTCACGATTACTTCTACAGTTCAACATGACTGTCACAAAAACTGAACGTTACGTACAGTAGTTAAACCGAATTAACTAACCCAAATATCAAAGTCACACAACACGTATGCACTTGACTATAGCGTTCTCCACTACACAAATGCCTGACTGTATCACATTGTTAACACAAATTATATATCGAGCTTTCTCGGATTTTTGACTATTCTGCCTGAACGGGTATGATAGTTTGGATGGTCACTGGCACTCCCAGCATTTGGAACACGCACTGGTTCACTCTCAATCGTTGCCTTGAATCTGACGCGTTTTGTTGAGGACCTCACATCTATCTCTGGGGGTGGAACCTGGTCATCTTGTCCTGGGGGATATGAGGGGGTCCTCTCTTCCTCACTGGTTTCCCGGATAAACCGACGATTCCTCCTGAGATTGTTGCCGTCAGATGTTTGCACCTCATACGAACGTGGTGACACATGTTTTCCTGTGACGACTGCTGGCTTCCACTTGTGAGTATTCTCGTCCCGTACTCTAACCGATTGACCTGGGGACAGAGGGGCTAGTGTCTGCACAGATTTCTCGTCGTGATACAATTTTGAGTTGCTTGACGCTCAAAAAGTCGACGTGAAACTGCATCCTTGTCAGCTGCTTTGTTGGTAATCTTTACCGGAAGATTACTTCTGAACTTGCGAGAGTTCAGTAGTTCTGATGGTGATGGCAAGTGGCAATACACGGGTGTGGATCTAATAATCAGTATTGCCATGTCCGGATCAGTATGTGCCGCTTTGGCTTTAGCAAGTACACCTTTTATGGTCTGTACGTGCCTCTCGATGAAGCCATTTGACTGTGCATAGTGGGGACTCGATGTCACGTGACTGAAACTCCATTCTTCTGTGAACTGTCTGAACACCTGGCTTGCATATTGTGGGCCGTTGTCACTGATTATAGTCTCTGGAATTCCTTGTTCCGAGAACACTTGCTTAGTGATGTTCACCACTGACTGACTTGTCACACGACCGTGAATTTTCTTGACTATCGGGAACTTTGAATAGTAGTCACAGATAAGAAGGTACTCCTCACCATCCAGATAGAACAGGTCGGTACAGACAGTCTGCCATGGTCCCGTGGGTAGTTCGTGACTTCTGGGAATGCCAACAAATACCACACGACTTTATCATGTTCTCTATGTCTGCATTACAGTTGTTCCAGTAAACACA